AAGAAAGAACTTATGTGAGCTGTAATAAGATCACACAAGAAACTGAGTTTCAAAAAACAGTGAGTAAAATTATTCTCAGCTTTTTTTTCCTAACCTCCTTTCTAATTTAAACCATCTCATTCTGTATTTTAAGACACCTATACCTCGGCCTAAAAGCATGTGCTGTCTCTCCATCATTTTTTTTGCCTATCATTAGACACCAGCATTTGTATTCAGTTACGCTATGGAGGCACTAGCAGTCTTTAGTTTAAGCACATCAGACAGGTACTGTAATCCCAAGTGTGACCTGGACCCCAGCCTGTGGTCAGGTGGGAGCTGTAACTCATTACAGATGTGGATCTGGGACCCTGGGCTCTGCTGCAGGACAGCATTATGGGATAACTTCACAACCAAGCAGGAAAGGAGCAGGAATTTCTGGTGGGACTCCAGGTGTGAGGATGTTCAGGTCTTCATCCCTGATACTCCCTAGCCCAGGTCACTACAGCACAGATCGAGATTCGGGGAAGTCCAGAGATCCTCCTCCTCTCTATATCTTTAATTACTGGGTAGTCACAGTGCACAGCCTTGCCAGCCAGACATGATGCCTCTTGGACAGAGACCTGACCGCCAGTAGGTCACTTGGCTCAAGACACTGCATGGCCTACAAGAAGAGCTGCCTGGCTCCATCCACAGCCCTCAGTCTGGCCTTTGGCAACAAGACCCACTGTCCTCCACCTCCCTAGGTGTGCTGCCGCTAGCAGCCACTGAAACTCACGTTTTCTCATATAAAGATAATTCCCAGATGTTTATTTCTTATGTTGGGCTTTGGCTGGACAGAAAAAGCATTTGCACCACACACAATCTAGTTAGAGAGAATGTCATTGCTCTAAGGTGGAAAGTTTTAAAGATACTTTGGCTGTATATGAAGAGAGCTGAAAAGCATGATGAAGGCTTCAAGCACACACATTAAGCAGTGGATTGAGAACGTTCCTAGAAAGTTTTCCTTGTAGAACTGAAACTGGGAACACATAGTCTTCACATCATTATCCACATTATTATATCTGTGAAAACCAGACCACGTGCAACAACACAGCTGTTCTAACTAAAGGCGTTTAATCTCCCACTATCATCTCAAAATATACATGCTCCTGCTCTTGGTTTTGTACACAGCAAGCAAGGACTAGAGGGAAACTTCCTGTACTGATTTCCATGTCTCTGCTTATGTTCACAAATTAGGAAAAAACCTACTTACCCCTAGAAAGGTAGCTAAAATTCCTAGAGCTGAACAAATAAAGGGGATAACCTGTTATGTAGTAAGAAATGCTAATTATAGTTGGTCCCAAAAGTCACATCTGGGCAATGCTAGATTTTCAGATAAGGGTAGAGTATAAGAGACTTAAAAAGCTGAATTATTAAATAAATATCTCTGGCACGCCATATGGAATCATATTCACATGTGACATGATTGCGCCCGTCTTACTTAGTGGGAAACTACAAAGGCTTGTGAGGATGTACCTGTTGCATCTCTTCCTGTACCAAGGTGGAGATATGGTTCTAATCCAAGCTTGGGGAATAAGCCTTCACAGCAACACAGCTACCATCATCTTTAAGTACAGAAGCACTGCCCAGCCCAAACTGTAGGAAAAAATGGGGGAGAAGCACCCTTCCTTTTGCCCAGCTTGTCTTCAAGCCCCTTCTCCCCAAGAACCTGGCTAATTTCACATCCATTTGTTCACCTCTGTTCCGTGTTTCCTACCTGAACAGATTGCAGACAACATAGGGTTGGTTGACTTGTTTTGAAAATGTGTTGACCATGGGAATTGGGAACACAATAAAAAAACATGCCTCAGGCACCTCAAACCACACAGAAAACTTATCGCTATCCTGATATCCAGCATGGCAAGCGTTTCCAACAAAATAAAATGTTTTCAATAAACACTCCAAGGCAATCTGTGACACATTCAGAAGGGAAGAATCAGGTTAATTGCAGAAGATTACATTAGCATGTTTACCACATGTGAACACAGTGGAAGGATTTCTGTAGTTGCTTTAGTGGGCTTCAGAGTATCCCACGGGATCATACCTGACTGTCATAAAGATCAGACGCCTGGACCCTGCAAAATTGTCAGATGCAATTATCTTAAAGAGAGCAAAGTAATTGGCAACTTTGTGTTGTACAGGAAACCTGTGTTCTGGAGGTGACCACTCTGCTCTAGGGGACACCGACCTCTCCTGCTGACCGCAGAGTGAAGCTGTAGGAGCTGCCAAGGGCTCTGCATCACAGCGTGCCTCCTGCTCAGTGCAGTGACAAACTGCATCCTGCAGCTCCAAACCCACAATGAACTACAGCTTCATCTCAACCTGGCCCTCATCCCGACAGAATTAACGATGGCTTTGTGATATTTCATATTCCTTTCCACTTCATTTGGAAGAAATTACTCCCTTTAGGTTTTGTTTGGGGGTCTAGCACCTATCTATAATCTATTTAGATTGTTAGAAGGTGGGGTAAAGCAGTAAAAGGAAAGAAATCAAAGTTTCAGCTGTTTCCTGCCAAGTCCTGTCGAGTACCTGGAGTTATTTAATTACACTTTTGCAGCTATCATCTCTTTACAAGCTTTATTAGTTGCATGGCTAATAAATTCTCCTTTATTACATTAATATAACTTGAAGCTCAAGTGCAAAATTACACCTATCTTAAAAACCAAACCAAAACAGAACAAAACGTTCAAATAGTTATAAGCAATTGCTCTGTAAAAACCTGAAAATCTGGAAGAACCACTTACAAGACACATGTGATATAAGGTCATCTAGCGATGCCTCAATTTCTGGCCAAACACATCACTGCCTCCCTACAACAGCACCTGGTAGTCTGGGAGACCTGGCAGCTGCATTTATTGCAGTTTAAAGTCTGCTGCTAATTATGGCATTCTGTAATAACCTAGTGTAACACAGAAGATAAAGGATATTTTACATATGTATTGATTTTTATTGACCTTCCCCTTCTCATTTTGATGGCCAGAGTTTTTCTTCTGCTTATTCATGACCTGAATTTAAAACAATAGGGGGTTTGGTGCTTGGTTTGCTGTTGTGCTTTGGGTTTTTTCCATGAGATGGGGTAGTTATTCAAACAAGATTTCTAGACTTTTTTTTTTTCTTAAGCAGATCACATGTTGCTTTATGATAACTGACAGATGAGAAGAGATCAGAATTAAACAAAACTATCCACTGATTTTCAAAAAGGCACCTTATTCTGCTGTTCCTTCGAGGGTGCTTTATGCTCGGCAGCGCTCCGGGCTGAGCAGCAAGCACTAGAGCACTGCTGCTCTCTACAGGTCTGCGCTGCACGGTACTCAAACCAGACACAAAACCCAAGTCCTGCGAAAGATTGGGGAAAGGGAAACCCTGACGCCAATGTTGGCTTTTGAGAAATGCAACCGGCCAATCTGAGCCTTTCCGTCCTGCAGCTCACGTGTGTAAAAAGCCCCAAATCAAGCTGCTTTCACAAAAGGGAAGGATGATCCGTGGTGCACCAGAGTACAATTTCTGCTTTTACTTTTTTTCCTGCAAGTGAAGAGGAAACGCTGCACCCTCAGGTGCAGAGTAAGAGGAACCATCCGCTCCCCGATGGGAACCCTCTCCCACCACAATACGCTGCTGCAAGAAACACGATGAGGCGCAGGAGGGCGTAGGAGGGCTGGAAACCACCTTGACTCTGCAGTGCTGAGCTTTAAAGACAATTTGTGATGCAATTATAATTCACTAAAATTTGGTCGTGACTCTTCACTGTCTGGAATTTTCTTTGTTTTTCTTTCTCTGCTTTTTCCTCTGTAACCCACAAATTTTGATAACTCCTTTTCTGCCCCTTTCACTAGCAAGCACAGACAAACAAGATAACCCGGAGTGAGTTCAGCACTGCTGAAAACAGAGCAGCTCTCATAACAGGAAGACAGTAGTAAATAAATCTATCCAGCCAACACAAGCAAACCATGAAGACATCAAAAGCACCTCTTTAACCAAAGGCTGTGGATCTCAGAATCAGGTTACCAGAGACGGTATCAGATCACAAGCTTTCAATAGAGGAAAAGGCAAACTCGGAGGGGTAAAAAACAAAACAAAGCCAAACCAAAAAAAAAAACAACCAAACCAAACCCGACAAAACCCCCAAACGACCAAACCCAGCTTATTTGAGAAATCTGTTATCTACAGCTGAATATTGCTGCTGAGATGAACAGCCAGGTACAGAAGCAAAGCACCTTGCAGACAGGGAAAGCACAGTTAGAAGCTCAAACAGCAGGACAGTGTGATCTGACATATGGAAACTCTGCGAAGGTTTTTCTATCCGTGAGGCTAGAAAAGCTCATCAAAAACTGATTCCCCAGAACCAGCAAGAGCAGCAGGCTTTTAGCAAGCACGTTCCTAATGACTTAGCTCCACATGGAGCATGCCACTCATACGACTGCTTGTGAGAGAGTAAGTAACTGTTCCAGCTTCTTTAAATACCAGTTTTTCTGGAGACAACTTATTTTTGGTACTGGATACCCGATGAAAACTTCAACATATGTGACTAGAAAATAGTATTCCGCTATTTATTTCTATTTTGTCACTGCCCCAGCAGCAGTACCACACTCCTGGGAACTGTGCTCAGAGGGGCAAGTGACAAATGCCACAGGACTCTCCGGGTTGGGTATGGGTACAGGCTTTAATACCTCACACAGAATAAATAGATTTCACCTTAATCCAGATATCTCCACAGGTTTCCTCACTTAGAACTCTGGCAATACAGAAGAGATGAGGAGCATCCACTGCAAGAAAAAACGTGAATGTACATAAAAGATTTCCAAACACAAACTTCTGGGCTGTACAGGTTAAACTAATTGAAAGTATGGATTATTCTGGAAATAAGGTATTTCCAGTACGGGAGAGACCAGGTGCCACTGGCTAACGTGGAGGGCTCTGGCCGCCCCTCCTGAGGGAGCAGCCGCCGGCGCCGCAGAAGCCCCGTAAAGCCTCCGGGAAGAGCCGCTTCGGGTACCGGCCGGGACACTCCTTGTCGGCGAGGCGGGCCGGTCCCCACCCGGGGAGGTACCGTCCGGCCGCCCCGCCCGTGCACTTCCTCAGCGGCCCGCGAAGGCGGCCGCTGCAGCCGTCGTGTCCCTGCGTGGGGCGCAGGCGAAGAGGCGCGGCGGGACGATGACCCAGAGCCGGGAGCCGCGTCCCGCCGCTCCGTTAGACGGGGAGCTGGAGGCGCTGGGGTAAGCGGCGGTAGGGGCGGGACGGCGTGGCGGGGGTCTCTGCGCGAAATGGCGGCCCCCGCCCAACCCCGGGGGTGGCTGAGGGGCGCTGGGGTCCCCGCGTGATATGGCGACCGCCCGACGGGCACTGACAGGGTGGCAGCTGAAGCTTCTTGACTTTGGTAGTGAGGTGAGAAGTAAAATAAATAGGGGGTTGTTTTAACGAGCACGTCGAACGGTTTCGTGCGTGGTGTGCAGCCTGTCAGAGAATCCCAACACCTAGTCCCTGTGGTGTGTTTGAGAGGCCGGAAGGCTCTGCGGCATTTAACCTCTGTCTGGAAGAGCGCAAGGTTGTGGCATGTCTCTTACCTGTGTCTGGAGGAAGCACCAAGCCAGAGCTTGTCCTCAGAGCTGCCTGTCTTCCCTCAGCTGCAGACCTGCACCATCCCTTCGTCCATCTCCTCACAGCTTGGTCTGGAGGGCTGCCATCGCAGCCCCTTGCTGGGCCCGGGGAGGCAGCAGGCTGCCCCAGGGCACCTCGGGCTGAGCAGTGACAGCAGTGGGACGGTTCACATGAGGACGTCACCCTCACTCACAAACGAAACCCAAGGAGCAAAAAAAAAGGCTCATGGTTGCGACAGACCTCCTTCCCTGTCCGATGTGACTCGCCCATGTTGCCTGCCGGTTAGTTTTGCTTTTACAGGAGGAAGGCTTGGGTTAAGTTTTCACCAGCAGCATTGCTGCGGGTGAGAAGAAACGCAGGCTGGAGGAGCAGCATGGCTGGTACAGGGAGGGAGGGATCAGCGGCAGCAAAGTGGAGACAACGCAGAGGGAAGGCCAGTGAAGACAAAGTAGAAAGGCTCTGGTGTCATCTCTGCGTTGAGAAAGAATAGATGAAAAAAGTAAAGATTTTTTGCTTCCTGAGTACTTATGGATGAGAACCAACTCATCATTTATTTCTGTGATTAACTGACTTAGTGAAGAAATTGGAGTGCAACAAAGAGACTTGAAATTACTGTCTGCGAACTGCTAAAGTCTTCCCATATTTAGAAGAGCCTGTTAATGAAATGCCTGTTACTGAAGCATCTAGCAAATATGAAATGAAGTCACTTTGAAGTGGGACCCAGAATAGTCATAATACACACTTCCTTTACATCTCTAAGATTGTGCTCATCGTAAAATAGTATCTATAGGGGAAAGAAAAAAGCAAAAAGAGTTACAGCTCATGTGGGAAGCGTGATTCTTGGTTGCCAGACTTTTATTAATTTCCGCTATGTGGCCTGAGTTGATTTATGCCAGTAACCTGTTCTTGTAAACAGACTTGCTGGTTGGCAAGGAGTTTGTCCTCGTAGATGATCTTGTAGGACTGCAGCCTGATGTGGTACCAGTGAGAAGAAAAAGCTACAAATACACATTTTTTTAAAGCTGTAGCTTCTTTATTTCCACTTTGGTGAAAAACCTAAACTTTTAACCCTACCTCATAATCCTAAGGATCTCTCTGAAGGCAGTGTGTTGAGTTAAATGCACTAAAGGTAAATAAGCAATGCCAACCAAAGATTCCCTTCATATCTTTAAACAAAGCCCCTTTTTCAGCTAATACTAAAGCCACTTTCCCCCGCTTCAAAGAGGAAAAAGAAGGCCTCACACCCTAAACATGCGGTAGAATAGTCTTAAAGATCTCTTAAGGTAAATACTTTTTAAGCTGTGAGAAGTAGGTATGTCAATCTCCAACTATAACATTAAATTGTCAGCCACCACAAGATTTTTTTCCCCTAAACTTAGTCGCTGGTGTTGTCATACAGTTGAGCTCCCCTTACACCTGACAGAGTATCTAGCACAACTGAGACACAGTTCTGTTGAGGAATATCCATCATTGCTATAGTAAAGACCATCAGAGACAAGGGTCACTCAAATGAAGAGCACCTTTGACATTCACGTCCCTTTGGGAGCGGGATTTGAATCAGGTTATTTTAGTTCTTCTGCTTTACTGTGCAAAAATCAAAGAAGTTGGAGAAGGTTTGAAGAAGTGTGAAAAGGGAAGGACTTTACTTTTAAGGGAAGGTGGTTGGGTAATGGGATATCCTCATAGTTTACCAGGTCATCTGGTCATCAAAACGGAAAGTTGACGGCAATAGAGATGGGTGTACAGCATAAATCCTGTCTGTCTCACTGCTGTGTTTGGAGGACCTGCTGCATGCTGGATTGTTCTAGATTAATGCTCCTGAAATTACACTGAGAATATTGGAGTGCATGAGAGCAAAGCAGGAGGGGAGGGGGGTTTCAGTATATACAAACCCCATCTTTATGTTACCTCTGCTCTAGAGATACCTGTCACAAAAAGAAATATCAAGAAATGAGAATTAGCAATCCCTGTTATGATCAGGGACAATCACAGTCGCTGAAAGATCTAGGTATTCCTACAACTGTTTGTTGGATTGATTTAGTTTCTCCAAAGCCTTAGTATTCATAAAGATGGACTTCCTGATCTTTTACATCAGGACAAAAGAAAGCAGAAATAATGTGTTTGGCTTTTATTTAATTTAATTTTTTTTTTTTTTTTTACTATTTTGTCCAGTCTGAGGGAAGGTGATTGCTTGTATTTATTCAGAGAGTTCAGGAGGTCAAACAACCAGAAGTTCAAAGTGAGAATTAGAATTACTGTCAGCTTCATTGCCAAGATGTTTATAGGTGGAACTAAATGCCTAATGAAACAGAAGAAGAGCAAAATCAGAACATGTTGTTAAAAACATGTTAGCTCCTTCATTAACTTAAATCTGCCAAAATACTTGAAAGGGGGCACTGAAATTTATCAAAAGAGCCATAAGCATCTTGGCGTAAAGGAAAAGGAAACGGATATCGTGATTCTTCTTTGAAGGTCTCTTTAGCTGTTCTTGAAGTCCACCCTTTTTCCAGTCACATTTATTGCTGTTATTGCTTAAAGGACAGCCTGCACATTGCAGTGTGAAACTGCTGTGGCTGATCACCTATGGTGTGAGTTTGGGAAATTCCACATTGTGGTTCGTGTTACTTGCACAAGAGATGAGAATGTGGAATATCTTGTTATCTGAGTACAGGCTGGTCTCATAACACAGCTTCTGTCCCAGCATACTAGCATAGCTTGGTGACACTGTTTGTCTTTTGGAAGTGACAGGAATGGGGCAAGAGGGAACAAGTTTCTGTAGACTTTTTCCTTTTGCAGTCGGAACATTCTTTGTCATCCCGTGCAGCACAACTTCCATGTTCCTCCAGCCTGAGGTTTGACAGTACCATGACAGATGGTATTTGTAAGACTGAATGCTTAGTTTTAGTAACAGAAGATAAATTGGGCCACAGACTTAGATCAGATGGTGATGGAATTGGGGAACTTGTATGACTGGGACAGGGCAAACGGTCATAAGATTTTTCTTTTCCTTCATCTATATTTCTAGTGTAAACAGGGCAAAATTACAATGGCTAAAAAGTAAGCAAAAGAAATGGGTGAAAATCAGAACAAAGGCAGTTGAGAGAAGGGGAAAGAGAGCATGGAAGTGAAAAGCAGAAGCCGAACTAGTGAAAGCCTGCAGTTAGATGAGATGGAATTTAGCGCTGGATACACTGGTATTATTTCCTATTTCTATTTTTAAATTATTTTTTCTACAAAACAGCACCTTTGCATTCCAACAAAGTACTTTACATAGTTGTGTGATTAAGTATTTCAGTATGACACATTGAAAGAATGTCTAAATAAGTACCACTTTTGGTTGTATACCACCTAGAACTTCTATCTTACCATCCTTGCCCTTTTGTAGGTTCTCTAGAGCTCTGTCAACTCATGCAATATTAAAAACATTGCTAAAGCTTCACTTTTACTGATGTAAAAGAGTCCTTTTTTTTTGCGACTTTGAGAAGGTGGGTAATGCTTCTAGGGTTTCATATTAGGAAAAAAAGTTAAAATAAAAGCAAACAAACCCCCCAAACTTGACAGATATGATCTGGAAGTTGCTGAAATCCAGCATACAGAGAATTGGGAGCTAGTAAGGCTATTTTGTAGAGTAATTTTTAGAGTGCAGGCAAGTGAAAAGCACTGTGTCCAGCCACAGGACAGCTCTGTGCTTTCCTGTTCACGCCATCAAGTAGTACAGTATTCTACACATTTCACCGAAGAATGGGAGCAGAACCTTGAGGCTAGTTTCAAAGTGTAAGGAAATTCAACTTCTGGTAGGAAATATATTTTTAATAATAATAATTTAAAAAGTACAAAACCTGGCAACATCTGCCATGACTAAAAAGGCAGCCCAGGGTAAATAAATATTCTGAATAATACTGAAGTCCTACGGAGAGCACATCTGGACTGTCTCCCTGCCAGCGTTGATCTCTGTTCCCTTTCAGAGGTGGACAAGAGAGAATTTTTTATGCTGTGTTTCTGCTTTACTTCTGCAGCTCAGGCAACCAAGGTGCTTTCCATGGGGACAGTCCCCCAGCAAGGAGCCCAGGGAGTATTTGACCTTGTGTGGTAAGGGAGGGAGCTTCTGGGAAGGAATCAGACACAGCTGACTACTCAGAATCTCCTTCCTGCTTCAGCAAAGGAACTTTGAATTGCTGGACTCTACAAAAGTAAAACAAACATCCACAGAGTTTCTAACTCTATCTAGGCTATAAGTATCTGAGAACATAATCTGATAAGGATATGAAAGTAAGTGTAACCTCTGTCTACTGCATTTATCTGACAACTGGGTGTACCTCAGAGTTGTTACACCAGACGTTAAAACCAAATGGCAGTCAGAATTTCTAGCTGTTCTCTCTTCTGGCACTAGCTACCTTTCATTTTTATGAGGAGGAAAAGTGAGTATTCTGCTGGGTGATACACAGTTTGCATATAAAGCTGGCTGAGAAGAGAATTGTCCAAGTCACTCAACATTCATCCTTAGGTTAACCATGGATGAGTGTTTGTATTCCTTGTGTATTCCAGTATTGTTAAGAAGTTAATGCACCTGATGCCAGCTACCGGTTTATTTACCAGCCCCTATTTACGCAGACAGAAATGTTTTGCAAAATACAGTTTCTTTGTGTAAGGGCTGTCTGATCTGCAGGTAATGAAGTTTCATTAACATTTTTCTTTGAAACATCTTGGGTTGTGAAAGAAAAGAACACATGAACATTTTGAGGATGATATTCTTACCTGAACAGGGAGTTTTCCACCCCAAACATTGTTGTAACATACTCCTGATCATCACTGCTGTGTAGGGAGTTCTGGTCCCTGCATTAACTACACAGAGATCTTAGTGCAAGAAGAGATTTTAACACAAGTATGTGCATTGTGTAGTACTGATGATTAGCATAGCTGCAGTGGTACAGACATGGCTTGCAGTATGTCTTGCAGTGTGGCTTGCGGCCACTAGCTTATCCTACTTGGGAACTCCACTGCTGACCAGGTGGGCAGACTCTGAGGGCAAGGTTGTGTGCTCTGATGAGTTTGGTTCTCTGGGGCACTGCATGTCTCATTTCTCTCCCCTTAACAGCAATGTCAGTAAAGTCCTTCCTGCACTATCACCAGTGCAATCTGATGTAAAGGATAGGCTGATTTCTGGAATTGCTTTGTTTTCCAAAGAGAAGCAAAAGTAATCTCACTAGGGCTGAGTGCTTTCATGGTGCTTTTAAGTGCTTCTTAAGACATGCTTTCATGGGCCCAGCAGACTCTTTCCAATCCAAAGTGCAGGAAGACTAGCATGGTCCTTCAACAACACGCCCTGGCAACTCCAACAAGCTTACACGTATGGGGTAAAGAAATTTAATATAACTTAGGACAAAGTTAAGGTAACAAGAATGAATAAATGACAGCAATTATAAACTCTGAAAATGAGATCATTAGTCAAATTGATGATAAGGAGCCCCCAAAAAGGGGAGCATGCAGGATTTTTTATAGTAGAAATAAAGTAATTGGAAAAGAAAAAACTCCCAGAAGTATGTGTGCATTTGTGGCAGGAAGGCATGGAAGGCCATGGGCACCCAGCAGAAGTGGCTCTGAAGCAAGGAGGGACTTTCCTCTTTTTCTACCTGTGTTACTTCAGAGAAATTTGAATAAGGAATCCCAGGCAATTTTCACAGTACTGGATTATTTTTATAGTGAATACAAGGCTCTATAAGTTGGGTCAAACAAAGATGGCTTTTGGAAAGACCTTCAGAAACAACCCAATATGCAAGATATGCACCATGGTTCAAAATTAAATAGCTTTTTGAAGGACTTGCTTGGGGCTTCAAACACTGATGATTGTTTATAAAGCCTTTAGATCTGCTTAATTTCTTGTTTTAAGAAGGGACGAAGGTAGATACAGTATTATATTTTCTGTCAACAGTTTCCTTGTCCTCCATTTTCTCAGAAGCACCAAAACCTAAGCTAAAGGTGACCGCCCTTTAAGTGAATGATCCCATGTTGGTTTACCTGCAGATTTCAAAGAACTGCCTGAAGGATGTTTTTCTGAACAAGACAAATAGAAGGATCCCCCCTCTGACAAGTACTTAAATTCAACTGAAGTGTATCTAGTAATGTCTGACCACAGGGCTGTTTAGATTTCTTTTTAGTCTTATTTACTTGTTTTTGTGTCACCAGGCAGGTTTCATTGGGAAAGCAGTCTGTTTTCATAAGTATGTGTTTGTTTAACCTCCTGCTGGTCTGGATGTAAATGCTGAACTTTCCACAGCATTTTTAAATCTTACCTGTGTTCATGCAAATTTTGAGTGGCCATTTTCAGGAAAAAAAAAGAAAAAAAAAAAGGCAGCTCTGCATAACACAGTCACTTTGGCACTAAAATCTGTATTTGTCTCACATCCAGTTCTACTTGTTAAGCTGATCAAGAAGAACACAGTAACATTTGAAGGGTTTTTATCTGAAGTAGCATATTTAGGCAAGAAGACTAATGCAACCTTGTCAGCAAATGTTTAAAACTGCACTTTAAACCAACATTATTTTCCCAGTTAAGTGGGTGGGATTTTGTTGATGGCCTTTGATTGGTTTAATATTTTTTTCATGGTGGTAAAATTTCATTACTCACTGCCTTTTATGTGTAATGAGAGAGTAGATTGAAACACAGCATTTTTTAAAACATAAGTGACTTCTATTTTAAAATCTTAGTAGAAGGCTTTTTGAACATAAGGTAACAATATACTTACAAGCAACCTCAAACTGAATACGCCTCCTTTATGAGCATGGCCACTTACAGATTTTCTCTGTGTATGTTTCTTCTGTACATAAATGAGAGAAATAGTGTTACAAATTTCCACCCAGAACACAGTGTTGTCCTGTCAGCCAAGCGTGCATGCTGATACGATCCTCATCACATCAGGACAGATATGACCTTTAGCAGTTACTTCCTTGGGCAGTTAATCCCAAAGCAGATTTTAGCTAACAGGTGTTTCAGAGGATGACACTTTGTTGTTTAAATATTCATAATATGATTCTACTATATAGATGGTCCACGGACCACATTCTAGAGCCAAAGCATCCATACCCTGACTGTACTGAGTTTCACATGGATCTTGTCTTCTTCAGGTTTAATAATCTAGAGTCTGTCATAAAGCAATTTATCAAACAGCTGGCCTTTCAAATAGGCAGCTGTCTAAATCAGAGTTAAAAACTTAGCGCAAGGTGCCAAATTTAGTGGCAACTTACAATGAACAGATAAAGTATTAAGGAGAAAAAGTGTACAATTAAGCCTTGTTTCAGGCTAAAGACTGCCATGATACAAATGTCGGAAAGTGCTGTGATCACACTTCTGCTTTCAGTCAAACTATATTTCTCTGGCTGAAACAGTAATAGAGTTTGACCCTGATACTCTGGGCACACACAGTTTAAAAGGAAGAGAAAGGAGACTGGTCACTGCTCCGCATACAGACAAGGGGAGGTGCTTGCACCCTGCAGAGCTGTGCCCTGGGTACAGTCTCCCCTCCTCCTTCTGCACCGGAGGTTCTGGTGTCTGTATATAACTGCACGAATATCTTCACACCGCATGTCTTACGGGAGGCAGTCCAGCCTCCTATATCTGTGGCTTTTTTTTTGTGTTCGGTCTCGGAATCATGTCTAATAAGATCCTTTTCTATTGAAAGGAATCAAGCATTTCTGTTGTGAAGCATTCTGGGTGCAAAGAAAGCCATAAACAACATTTCATGCTCTTTGCAGGATTTTTTTCTGTGATTTCCCTGTGGAATTTTTCATATAAAAATGAGGTTAAAAACCCCAATGAGGTTAGTTTTAACTGACGGTAAATGAGGCAGCTGTTTAGATCTAGCTTTCCTGCATAGCTGAGACCACATATGGCTGAGCAGCAACAATGGTAAGATTTCCTAAATTTTCCCTCAAATTCTGTTTGTTATTTTCCCTTCCTCTGTTCGTTCTTCCAGAAAGCTTATCCTTCAAATGAAATTTTAAGCTTAGGCACATTCGGTTAATCACCTATCTTAGTGCAGATGAACTGAGTTGCGGGAAACAGAAAGTTTGGGAGGAGTTTAAGTGTTGCCTGTTTGCCCCAAAAGGGGAAGTGTACCAAAGCGTGTAAATACGTCAGGAAGTACAGGTTCTGAAAATAGACAAAGGGTCTTGCATACTCCCCGAATTGCTTTCACCTTATCAGCATAGACCTGGCTAGTTTGTTGCTCACGAAAGGATAATTTGCAAGGGTTTTATTATCATTACAGACAGCAAAGTGTCAGGTTTTTGTATGCAACTTTGTAGTTAACAAAAGGTAGTTCTCTGAGCATACTGAAAGGGGCACAGGTCTGTGTAACCTGCCTGTGCTTGTGAGAAGGGTAGTAACTCAGAATTGTAGCAGTGATAGCTGCAGTCCTTCCTCTTTCTTTAACTCAGCTCCGTTATGCAGCAGAAGCTGCCAGTTAAGAGCAGAGCAAATGATGTTTTAACCCCTTGTGTCTTCCCAGGTGGTATCATGATAATCTTACCCGACATGCAGCAGAAGCGCTGCTGCTTTCCAACGGTCAGGATGGAAGCTATCTCTTGAGGAAGAGTAATGAAAGGGAAGATCTGTACTCGCTCTCTGTAAGGTAGTGTATGGACCCAAGTGAATTTATCTTATGCCTCACAGCTAGCAGTTTTAAAATCTGCACTTACTCCCATGTTTGCTTGTCTCATGCATTGAGGTGACCTGCAGAGTTTTTTCCTAGGGCTCAAACTATTTTAATAAATCTTCCTAATGGTGTAATCCTGCTGAATGACATTTTGTTAGAAAGAAAAAAACCCACATTGGATTGCATTGGAAAATGGCACTTATTTTTGCAAACTCTGAATTGATCTTATTGACAAAAAACATAATTCTGTGGATTTGCTGTAGATACTCAGTCTTCATGATAAAAACATATATGGCAGTTACAGGAGTTCAAGAAACAGCTGATGGGAGTAGAAAAGTTTTATGATGAGAACAGTAGCAAATGTACCAGTTAATGAGTGCTAAATTAGCTAGCTTTAAAAAGGAACTGGTAAATAGAGTAAGTACAACTCATTGCAACATTGTATTTCTTGTGAAATTAAATGAAAAGATGAAAACCCTGTCATTGCAGTGGAGTCACAGCAGCTATTTGCTGTTGTGGGGCCTCTGCGCATGGCTTGCATGCACTGCGTCTCAGCTGACTGTAGCACAAAACATGCAGGAGGTCAACAGAGGAATGTTCTACAAGATCACAAGTACTGTTCAGAGATAAATACTTGTTTAAATACCTGTTTGAAATTATAATATCCTGTGGAAGTGGCAATAAACAATGTAAAAGATGCTATAAACCCCTTTCTTCACTATGTTTTCAATATATTTGCTCCATACAATTTCTCCTTAGAGAAATTCTTCCCTGGACTATTTCGGATGCTAATAACAGTAACGCAAGTAACTTTTTCACATGAGAGATACTTGCAGTAAGTGCTTTACTGTCTCTTGAAGTCAAAATAAGTGCCTATCCAGGAAGTGAGGCCTTGCAGACTTCTTTAAATATCATCAGCTTTCATAAACAAGTACTGTTACTTTCTCCACAGGCAAAGGACCCTGTTTCATGTTTGACAGTGCCAACCATAGAGGAACTGTTTGTGTCAGTACAGAGACAAAATAGACAAATAGGTATCTAATGTTATTTAATCCCTGTTTGGGTGCAGAAAGAAGGCAGCTGATTTTTGAAAGAGAGGAGAGTTTCAATGAGGTTGGGATGCTACTTGTAAAGTAAGACACACACCAGTAATATAGGTACACCATAAAGACTAAAGTCCAGTAAGGGAACAGACAGAAGGCTGGAAATCTCATTTGTGAGTCTTTTTACTGCTTGCTGCCAGAGTTAATTTAACTTCCTTTGCCTTTCTAGGCTTTAGTCATCTCACATCTTTAAAGCAACAATTAGATTTTTCTTAATAAATCTGACTCTCAGCTGTGTGGAGTATTAGTGAGGGACAGTAATGGTGGTAGCTGCTAGGACAGTGATTGTCAGCCTGTGATCTGGGCCACATTTCCTGTAGTGGAAGCTGCTATTTAAGGGTTGCACATGTCGAATGCCTTCAGCATTTATGCATTGACAAATTTTCTTTTTTTATTTTAGGGGAAAAGATTCTGTCAAACACTTCCTTGTTGAACATACAGGAACTTCTTTCAAATTTGGATTTAACGAATTTTCTAGCTTGAAGGAATTAGTCATGCATTTTGCAAATCAGCCTTTAATTGGAAGCGAAACAGGTAAGGAGAGCATATGTTCGCATGAACACATTTGTAGTCATGCTTTGTACAGATCTAAGTAAAAGGAGCTTCCAGTGTCTTCAAATGTCTATCAAGGAGCTTCCAATGTCTTCAGTGTCTATCAAATGAATCTACTGCTGAAGTGTTTCTTTTCAGAGTTCATGACACTGTTAACCACAGGTATCTTAGATGTTCCTCTTCAAAAACTTTTTCAAGTACTCTGAATACAAACTACATGTAACCTTATGGGGTTTTTGGTAACCAGGGATGTGAGCTCCTTTTGATTTCTCAGAGCGAGATGCAGCATTTCAGAATCTGCGTGTACTGGGAGCAACAGACCCTTCTCAAAAAGGGAAAAACTAAAGCAGGGTGTTTAGTGAGGAAATAAAAGTTCATCTATGAAGTTGAAATCCGGGAAAAAGAATAAATGGAAAAGGGATTTGAAATTTTTTAGCTATTACTCCACTGTTCTTCATCCAGGGAAGAAGTCTACAGTGATATGTGCCCCTTTCCTTTAGGGAATGTGGCCTCTATTACCTCTCCCTTTCTATCTACTGTGGATCAGCCTGTAGTGTTGTTTCTTAGTTTTAAGAAAAAGCAGAGGTTTCTTTAGCAGCCAACATGCCATCTAAATTAAGTTGAAAGGTAAATTTTGATTCCTACAAGTGAATTGAACACTACCAGACCAGAGTTCACATAGAAGCAGATGTTTATTATAATGATGATGCCAGTTTTAGGTTTAGCTTCAAATGCAGGAGTTGAAAAAGGGTCAGTACAAGTTAGTTCCAAAAGCTTCAGTACCCTGTGTAGAAAGTGTATGCAAATACCTCATAGAGTAGTACTAATTATATAGACAAGACACAAGTTAAGTAATAGTTGGCAAGTGCAATAACTGTAATAGGTCACACACTGCACTAAGGGCATTCAAGGGTTGCTTTGCCTTTTTTTTTTTTTCTTTTTCCCTGCAAGAGAAATGCACTCAATATAGCATTTGTATCTTTCAAAGCATTCTCTTTTGAAACTGCTTTTAAGAGTGGTTCAAACACAAAGTTCCCACTTGTATCTTTTGTGCCAGTGAGCACAAAGACATGCAGCATACAGGCCTAACCCTGTAAAGGTTTCAGATTACATATAAAACTTCTATTTCCCCATTCCTTCACTGCACGCATTACAGACTTCAGTGATCGAGGCATTGGTGGTGTGTGATCTCTATGAGGAAGATCAACACTGCTGAATGATGAGCTCACTTGTTGCCTTGAAGATCTCTGATCAGATTCTGCTGGCTCTGTGAAACCTCTTTAATTTGGATGTGCTACAGAATGAAAAAAGTAATTTGAACATCACATCAAGAAACCTTCCACCTTACGTTACCATGGATAGCAGTAGAGAGGAAGAGAGGCCTAGCACTCAGGCAGTGTTCCTTCAAACAGAGGTGTCCAAGGTCTCGTGGGTGGTAGCCAATTTATACTAAAATGGGGGGAGAGGCTCATCAGAGCCCACTCTAAGCCAAGTGTCAGTGTGGCAGAATGGCTGACTCAACACAGGGTCGCACAGAAGGTTGGCAGAAGGGCCTTGCCATTCAGTGAAAGGCAGTAAGTAACCTGTAGCTCAGGTATTAGTAGAAAGTAGTTGGACCAGTTTTTCTTTTTCCTTGTTATACTTACAAGCAATTTTCTATAAAACACTGTGAGAGCAGGAATGAAAGAGTAAAGCAGGATAGCATTTTTCATCTCCTCCTTGCTTACAGACAGGATTTTGTAAGGCAGAGACCCATGAGATAGTGGAAACCATTATGTATTCTATCTCTGGTTTAAGTTTGTGTCACTGGAGCTAGTTTTGCCTCTGAGGAGGCACACCAGACTCTCATTGATCAGTACTTGAACATACAGGCCTGTACCTTGCAAACTAGTCCGTGGAGCACAGTGGTTCTTTTGTACTAGGACTCCTGCAGGTTTCTGCTTTGAGCCAAACAAACCTTGTTGTACCACAGCTTCATTTGCCATTCCAAATTGCTACATGGACTCATGTCTGTTTTTCTGCAGTGTAATGTATCCGCTTCCTTGTGAACTACAGATAAGTAAAAGGAAATGGTGTTCTGTGAGATGGCTTACTGAACAGGCAAGCTTTTAAAGCAATATATTATCATATTTCTGGATTTCTGTCTTTATTCAAAGTGACAAGGTTAACATAGTATTTTTACTTGTTTGCTTTGTCAGTTTTTACCTAAATTATTTTGAAAATGTATAAAAAATGCTTTATTATTAAAAAGAATTAAATATTTAAATAAAATAATTACCCCCCTGACTTTATTATTAAAAAAATAAAGTCATTACCCAGACAAAAAAATATAAAGTCACTTGAAGCTAAAATGTCTAACAATGGGACTCATTTTAAGTCTTCCTTAGAAATAGATGTCACACACAAACATGCAAGAAGAATCTTGCTACAGTGCAACTTTTACTATTTGTTTTATGCAGCTACCAGATGATGCTATACAAGTGTCTTTTGTGGAGAAAAAAACATGGAGAACTTATTGGAAAACAAATATTGTATAAAATGTTAAATCAGTCCTCCTGGTTCTGCAGCAGGGCTCTTTTATCCATGATATGGAGATGATGGTACTCTGATTCTGTGCAACAGCTTAAGAGTAGTTTCTGTAGACTGGTAATAGGTGTATTCTCAATTTGATTTTAAATGATAAAGCGATGTTTTTTGTAAGGCCAGAGAGAATGAAACTGAATTTGACTTTTCACCTACTACAAGTTGAATATACCACATTTGCATGGACCACCTGTGCCTGTGAACAGATTTCAGTTGATTACTTCAAATAGAGTTTTCCCCACTTCTATTTGTAGCCCTTCCCATTGCAAAATATACTTTATTTCATTTTTAGATTACTCCATCACTTGTAGATTTCAAGTCCAAGTTCTTACCAATTCTAACATCCTTCCTCTTTAGAGGGCTGACAATATCAGCATAAGATGCAGATGGAGCAGCACTTGGTATGCTTTGACATTAAAGAGTGAGATTAAATGGTGTAGCAGTTACTCTTTTAAGGAGACTCTTCACTATTGCAGATAGTTTAACAGATTCACTATTGGGAATGCAGCTTTTTACGGAGAATGTGCAGTAAATGTGACCTTATTTGGGAACAAATAATGGCTATAATAAAAAAGTTACTATCTAAAACAGTTAACAGTGATGCTAATGTAGGCTTACTGGTCTCTATCCAAAGCTCTGACAGATGAAGCAATTTATGCAGCAAGCAGTGGGTTGTTGGCAAAAACAGGGTAACTGTGATGGCCTCCTATCTAGTCTAGCATTCTGCCTACCCACCCAGCCAGCCTTCTGTGTAGTGAGGGAATTTAATGTGTCAAGTGATTCCCTTCAAGAAGTAGTAAGTTTAAAGGTTTTAAAAAGGTACCATATATTTACAGTTTTCACAGTTGCATGTAAAGAGGCGTGATAATGTCTGTAATCACATCCTCACGAACACAGTGAAAGTGCAGGTCACGTGTAGATTAGCATTTCAGCTGTAACTGTGAAATTGTGTTTCAGTTTGTTCTGTATTACCTAGTTGCTGACTGACTCAAAAGAAGGCTCAAGCAGGAGAGGAGACACCTGCCTTTGAGGATTGTCTTGACAGTCCTGTTCTGTTGCTATCTTAATTTTTCGCCACTTTATCATGCACTGCAGAAGGGGTTTAATTAACTGCTGCTTAGGAGAAATGAAGAGGTTTTGCAGTCTTGCTTTCAGAGATGAAAGGATAAATAGATTGCCACTGTACAGAGAGGAGGGAATGGATTTAGGCATGGTCCAGGTGTCCAAGGTGTCGAGGACTCTGGGCCACACAAGAGAGCCAAGGAAGTGAGACTGGGCAAGTGAATCCAGGAAATGTCCCTCTGTGCTTTGGATGGGTGGATTATTGTAGAAAATATCCCTCACAAAGTCTAAATCATTCAGATGATGCATTGGAAATATTTGTCTGGTTTTACCAGTATGGGAGAGTCATTTATAGTATGTGATTGTTTTCTCAAATCGGTGTGGCCCGAGTCCATTCCAGCTATAGGAAGTGTCACATAAATCTTAGGGAAGTTATTAGTTCTTATGCATTTTTTAATTGGAGAAAAGATAAAGTTAACCATTCCTCAAACAGGGAGCTACTGCCAGTTATTTTCTAAGACTGTCTTGCCAGGTGACTCCTGCTCTTTTTCTCTCCAGGAACCTTAATTGTATTGAAGCATCCCTACCCACGGGAAGTAGAAGAACCTTCCATTTACGAGTCTGTCCGAGTTCACACAGCCATGCAGACAGGAAGGACAGAAAGCGACCTTGTTCCAAATGCTCCTTCAGTAAGTTGTGTTTAGTGAGAGGGGTGCTTCTCCTGGCCCAAGTTTCATATGATTTCTGGAGTGAGCTATGGAATAATTCTGGTAGTTCATCCCTTTATGGGCTTGTAGATACAGGACGTTTTTGTCGACCAAGGCAAAACAAACACAGACTTGCTAAGTACAGTCCCCTGACAGCTAAAGCCTTTTAGAACTGTCACTGAGATTTTCAGTGCTGTCACTGAGAAAACACTGTCTGCAGTTGACCTAGATAAGTCTGACCTTCCAAACAAAGAATATATGAAACGTTTTCATTCTCCTCTTACCTTCCTTTAAGAATGCCATCTTAGCAGTAACTAACTTTATCAGGAATTAGAAACAAAACCAAAGCAACCCAACCCACACCACCCAAAACAAACACACCACTTCTCACATCTTTCTGACAACACTCATCAGGCTGTATGCAACAATACGCATGCCAGGTTGCACAGTAAGCCCTTGATTTGCCCAACATCCTGTACAGACAACGGGAAGTCTCTTTCTCTCCCCTCCCAGGTGAGAAGAATACACCAAATAGCAGACTCAAGTAAGTTATGGGATTTACCACATTTTGTCTCACTCGGTGAATATGAGGCTTAGAGGACAGGAAACAGTCCTGACAGACATAAACTAATTACTACGTATTATTTTTGCAGGCTTCTTTGTTTGTTAGAATTATTTTGTCCAGTTAGCAATATACAGCCTCCTTCTTAACCAGGAGGAAGAAAAGAGCATCTCTGACTTTTCAAGTCAATTAAAAACGAACCTTTTGAAAAAAGTAGTCAGAGATGTGCAAGACAGGCAGGGACACATGCGGAAAAGGAAACCCCAAACTGGAGCTCAATACAACCAAGTTAATCAGATTATCTATATGCGGATAGGTACAGTACTCAAAAGGGGTATTTTTTTGGTATCTTCACGCTTGGGTTTTATTATTTTAGAATCGCCTTGTCCTAAAGTAGGAAGACAGTCTGTATTCTGACACAGACTTAAACCCAGAAAAGAGGGGTTTGATGGAAGAGCCTCCACCCTTTCAGTCCTAGTAGTTCTGAGCCCAGTAAAAAGCTACATCATGTTAAAAGCTATGCCTTACTGGTGCGAGGAACAAAAGAGCATCTTCATATCTACTTGGGCCACCAAATGCTGACATCTGTGACTCACTTAGACAGTAGTAGAGACTTCAAATTCCTAGTAACTCATATCTAAGTGAGAGAAGTGGTTTCCAGAACAATATTGCGCACAGCAGAGAGGAAAGTATTTTAGTTACGTACGATATTTTTTGAGAAAAAGAGGAAGAGTTACATTAATATGGGTCAGTGAAGTTAATGAAAGAATCACTTCTGATGTATCTCACAACCAACTGTTCATGGCCGAGTTCCGCTTTAACCTCCAAAGAAACTTGACTTCCACATGCAGCCAGTAAAAAGGCGGTATTTTTCCAAGAGCCAAGAAGTAACTAGCTTGTCAAGAATTTGTTTTCTAGAGGTGTGCAGTTTCAGAAGTAGGTCCCTACACAGAGTTTTAGTATCTGAGAAGTCATAAGGTCCCAGCATCACTCATGGTGGCAGAGAAACAGTTCAAAAACCAAGTTTTCAATAACATATTGAATGTATAAGGTTTTTCCTCTCAAGCATGTGGCTGGCTGAGAGAAGAGAACGCCTAAGTAAAATACATCAGGAGTGATATTTGTGGATAATTCCACTGTCAGCTAAACCCCAGGTGCTTCTGGTTACAAGACATTATGAGGCAACCATCTAACTTTACCAAATAAACTGTAACTGCAACTATTTCGCAGTGTTTGGTTGAGAAGATGCAGACCAGAAGCTTGCTGAAGGAGGCATGGTCTAAGAGAATGCCTTTAAAGCTATCACAGGCCCATGTTTAACCTATCTGTGGATCCAGTCCTGTGAGGGGAGGACAGGAGTGAGGACAGGGCAAGTGGCCATGGGACGTTTCCCCAGTGACAAGCTGCTTTTCCTTGTTTCGGACATAGGCAGAGAGATGAATGTGGGAAATGGGAAGAGAGCGTAGTCTCTAACTCCAGTCCCTTCCTTGTTCCTTCACAGCTTGGTACAAAAGAAGGATATTTGATAAAACAAGGCAAAATAGTCAAGGTAAGGAAAAACTCCTTGTTTCCACTCTACAGTCACCCACAGAACCTGGAGACAATGTGGAGCTGAAATAGCTCCATGTGCAGTCCCCTGCAGCAGAGAGCAACAAAAAAGCACGGCTGTAAACCAGAGCAAGTCAAAGCTTTAAAGCTTTTTCTTTCCTAAGATGCATTACAGTCAATTCTCACAAGACAGTTACCATCCATCCCTTCTTGATCTTTCAGAATTGGAAGACAAGGTGGTTTACACTGCATAGGAATGAACTTAAGTATTTCAAAGACCAGACAGTAAGTAGCAAATGCCAGTTCTACTCTTTAAACCTCTCTAGAGGCAGCTGCAGCCTCCTCATATCTCTGACTTCTCGCCATCTGTATCAAAGCTTCCCATACTGTCAGAGGGATCAGACCTCTCAAATTAACTTAAACATCTTGCTGATGACTTCAACAAGCAAAAGCAAGTTTTACAGGTGGAAAATATCTACCCTGCTCAGCAGTCTTACATACTAGTTAGAGCTGTTCTTTACAGTGCATTTTTGGTTGCTTTATTCAGTGGATTTTAAGCTACCAGCCCAACATGGTTTTTATCGGTAGCTTTGACACAAAACCTAGCAGACAGTAGTGCTATTAAAATATTTCTGCAAATACTACAGTATATTTTGCACTCTTTGCTTTCATCCTTCTATTTCGAGTATAGGTAGAAAGCCACTGATTTAAAAATGTCCTCCTTTCTAGCACTCCGACCTGGATTAACCTGCTGCAGCTGGGAAAAACAGTTGCATTTGCTGTTCCATTCCATTCTTAAGCTGAGTAAAAATAAGAGATACCACTTAGAGTTTCTCCGCCCTTACACTATCTCCTTCATAAACACAGCCTCTGCACCTCTGCCAAGCGCTGTTTAAAGCATCTCATAGATTTTAACACAACAGCAGACATAGCTCACGCTCAGCAAACATTACCATTTATGAACAGTTACATGTTCACAAGGCCTTCCATCGGTTTTCATTTCAGTTCAAGCCAACTTCAGTTAAGTTTCCAGGATAACATTTCAAAGTGCAGCACTCCAAATGCTTGAGTAGCCTTTGTGACTTACCAGGCAAGAAGGTGTCTTTGTCAGGAACATGGCCTCCTCCCAGGCAGCAGCTCCCATGTCTCCTGGCACTGCCATTGTTGCTGTGGGGTTGCAGATACCTACAGGTCAGCAACTTGCTGCTGGCCCTGGGAAGGCATTTGCTAGCACACCTTAGCAAAAGGGGCTTACTTCTAGTATAGTGTGTAACAGCCACTGAGCCAGAGGAAAGCACAAGGACAGGTGAGAAAGCAACAGAGACTTCCGTACACCTGATGAAGGGCCATGGAAAGAGCTAAGGGTGTTTGGGTAGAGGGCAACCTTTTCTACTACTTCAGCTGCCTGGTGACATGGTTTGTTAGTGGACTTGGCAGTGCTAGATTAACAATTGGACTTTATAGTCTTAAAGGTTGTTTCCAACCTAAATGATTCTATAACAGTGTAAGGCCAAACAAAATAAGAAAGAACTCTTACACGTAGGAAGGATGAAACTCTTAAGGGAGATGGTTTATAGTTACATACAGTCTACATACCTGTACCTGAGCACTTCTAGGTCAGTACAGAGAAACCTCAACATACACAGTGGTCATACAGCCAAACCCCTCACCCCTGCTGCAAGCACCACCTTAGCTTTACTTCTTTATTTCTCCCTGCTCAGATTCATCCTTTTTAAAGCATTTAGGAGTTAATGAAATCTCCAACAGCTGGCTAGGCCTGGTAAGACCAGTAACCATCCCCTTGTCTCTGTAAACTGTAGCTGGGAATGATACCAGATTTGCTGCTGTGTCAGTTACATTATAATGCATCAACCAAACCTTAAGCAGTCTGCATTTAGTGACACTTTCCTGCAGTAGTGACCTCTGTTGTTTGTCTAGATCTGAACTGTCCTGTTTTTTTATATTGAGCTCAATTCCTATCATGTTAATAATGTTATGCTTGTTGGTTTGGGTTGTGCTATTCCTGTGCCTGGAAAAACCTAGTGTGCTTGTAAAGGTCATGATGTACTGAAGATGAACCAGCTAGCCTTACTGTTTGTTTCCACACTTTCCCATTCTAAAATCATTCTATTTTCAAGGCCACAGAGCCGATTCGGGCACTTGACTTAACTGAATGCTCAGCTGTGCAATTTGACTATTCCCAGGAAAGAGTCAATTGTTTCTGGTAAGTTGCTGTACTCCTTCCATCTTGATGGAAAGGTCAGAATAGCCAGGGAAGTTTGAAATGCGACAGCTGGGTGCTTCTGAAAGCTCCCTGGCCCATTATGACCTGGCTCTAACTCGAGAGCCTGTTTCTGTCAGCCAGCTTCTGTCAGTCCTGCATGGCTTTGCCACATTACCACTGGAAAAAGATTTCTTTTTCTTGGCAAGGAGGAAGGGCCTGTGTGTGGTGGGCATTTCATTTCCTAATTCTGTAAGCATATATAATCATCACATAGACCCATGGAACTTATGTAGGGGCCAGTTCCCATTTCAGACATTGCTACCAGTCACACAGTAACCACTTCTATGCCCAAATGGGGGACTTTTGTCCTTATGGGCCTGGGGCAGCTTCTCCCCCCAACTGTAAAGGACTGTAAACAGTTCTTGGCTAACGTCCCTCCTGGTGACTGCATGGGAGCACAGCCTCCCCACCCTGGTCTGTCTAAACTGCTGGTGCAGGCCAGCTGGGTTCAGTCTTAGGAAGAACTTACCAGTTCTTCTAACAATTTAACAAATGGCCTATAATTGTTTACTTACAGTTTAGTGTTCCCACTAAGGACGTACTACCTGTGTGCGAAAACTGGAATAGAAGCTGACGAGTGGATTAAAATACTGCGATGGAAACTGGTAAGATGATGTGTAGCTTTAGGCTGCAGTACACCTCTGGCAGCAGTACCCTTGGTACTGCCATCATAAACCCCCCAGTATGGTGGCATCCAAGCACTACAGCCCTCAGTATCTGCAAGAAGGGTGTAATTGTTCCGGTTTCCAGGCCAACTAGGCTAGGATATGTAGTTTTTGCATAATGTATGTGCCTTCAAACCCACTTAGCTATTTTGGGATGCACTGCTAACGCACATACTCATTAGGAAAAAGAAATAACTTCCATCTTTAAGGATGTCATTGTGTATATGATAAACAGTATGGAACATCAGCACAAACTGCATGTGTTGGGTCATGAAGGGAGCAATGAGAACTGTAAAGGCTTTGAAAGCATCACTTCCTTAAGATACCAGTACTTGGGTTGGTCATACTCACGTACATCCACATGCATGCAGGCAAACAGTAACAGATCATCTTTCTGTTCTAGTCACAGATACGGAAGCAACTGGAGCAGCGTAACGCCACCCTGAGCTCCTAGCTGCACCTCTCCTGCTTCCCTCCATTGGCAGGAACTGCCTCCTGGCCAAGGAAGGGCATCGCTTACAAGAGGACAGTTTCACATCTCCGTTACTCATGGTGGGCACACACGTGTCTGTGTACTCACATGGGGACACTTGCATCCAGCTCTGTGCACAGAGGACTCGTACAGCTGAGTACTCTCATGCCATTGAGTCACGTGTGGAGACAGCGGCAAAATCAGGGTGTTGGTTTGGTGTGCATGGTGTGTGCCTGTAACACTCTTAAACGCCTCTTAACTAATCACAGAGGTAGTCACTGTTGAAAACTTCTGTGGTTATTCAGAGCACTCTTGGTAATCTGTTGCAAGCACCATCACAACTTTCCATTAGCAGCACATTCTGTAACCTTGAGCCAGTTATTTAAAACCAGTCCCTTCCGGAAACATTAATTACTTCTTTTGTATAATCTGTTTAGGCTCTAAACCAAAAGAAAAATGACAGAGGTAATTACATTGTTGTAAATAGTATCTGTACTACAATCCAGAGAATATTTCAAGGTGATGGATGAGTAAACACTTAGTTTTGGTCAAATCTCTTTTTGTATGAGTTACATTTGTACCCCAGTGATGGCTATAAGGGACCATTTGTTTCAAACAGCATCATCTACAGGTAACAGCAGCAGCATGAAAACACACTTACAAACTGGGGTTACGAGGAACAGGCACACTTAAAACAGCTGCTGTGGGACCCTAAAGATGGTGACAGGGCTCTGCAGAAGACTTTGCCTGTGGCATCTGCCAGTGCTGGGAATAGCATCACGAGTTGGGCCCCCACCAGCCCTCCTTGGGAATGGGCTGGATTTGATGTTTTCCTCACACAGAGAACTCAAAATGAGGTTCTTTGCAGAACTATAGTTCTGCACTTAGTTCAAAACTGCAACTTAGTTCAGAACCAAGCACTGCTTTGTATTAAACAAAAAGCACCACGTATACTAAAAATAGGAATTTAAAAGAATCCATCTTCTGTAATAAACTGATGAAAATTCCTATCTACATTTTGGAAGACTTGCATCAATTTAACAGTTGTAGCTGGCTAGAGTAAGGAAGTGGAAGCCCTGCACTTTGGTGCTGTAGTCAAAATAGTCGTAGAAGCAAAGTTTGACACGCTGGAGGGTCCCAAGAGCAGCTTGGCCTGACCTCAGAGCTGACCCAGCAGCAAGATGAGACCCCCTGGGTAATCCTGCTCCCCCTGGAGGGCTGGGAAAGGAGGGGCCCATGTACCTGTGCAACAGTCAAGTTTCTGCTGAAACAGCACATGCAAACCTCTCCTATCCATGCAAATGCTGTGGCACAAGGCTTGGTATTGCTCACGCAGCAGGTCAGTATTCAACAGATGCCTCTACTGTGAGAAGGCTGAAGAGGAGGGGAAAAACAGACCGGAAGAAGAAAGAAAATATTGATTTGGAGATAGAAATAGCATTTTATTTCAACTTAGAAATGAAAAATATTTGTGAATATTTTTATACAGACTGTTTTCTGAATAAAATATTATTATAAAACTACCAAAGGTCTTCTGTATTCATGCACTGTGGTGTTAAAGCCGTGTCCTCCTTTCCCCCTTCAAGAAGCAGTCTAAAAAATAGGCATCTCCCGTTCAGTTAAACAGCTTGGATGAGTTGATGTGGGAGAGAGAGAGGCAGCGTGAGGGGAAGAGAGGGACAATATTCTCCAACAACATCGCTGATCTGTGACAACAGCCTGGAAATGAAGCCTGAAGTATATCCACAAAAGCAGCCTTCCCCTTTTCACACCAAAAAGCTGTGTTACAAAGTATTGAAGATCATTCAGCACATGGTGTTACGGACTGAAGCCAGCAGCAGAAACGGGGTTGGCAGGCCTAAGAAACAGTCACCTGCAGAATTGCTGAAGAGGAGCTAGCAGCAAGAGGAGGCTTAGGTGGAATGCAAATGCTTTTTGCCAGAAATACACATGGACACCCTGGGGCTCAGTTTCCAGCTGGTTCTGTGAGGACCAGTGACAGAAAGCTCCCACCAGGAGCTCAGTTTAAATGGAAAAGGGTTGACCAACAACTCCCAATTTCTGAGGGAGCTTTGAGCCAAGGATTCCCAGTCCTCATTTCCAGCACAGCTGCTCCCCCATCCTGCCTGATGCTGAAGGGGGGCAAGATATGAACAAGGGGCAGTGGCACCCCCCTTTCCCAGCCTGAGGCAGAGACCTGCCAAGAGCTCACACTCAGTGCTTGGTTTCAGTGCTACAAGTCTACACCACAGCTCACACTTGGTGCTTGGTTTCAGTGCTACAAGTCTACACCGCAGCTGTCACAAAGGGAGACACAGGAGGAAATAAGGGGAGGACTGACCCCAGTGACAGGATCTCTGCATTGGCATGGGACTCTGTATCCTTATCACCCAGCCCAGAGACACGCTGGTTAGTTTTCAGGCTCTAAACTCCTGGGTTTTGTACATTTACAAACAGCAACAGAAAAGCCAATGTGCTATGGAGTACAATGGTGCGACAGAAGACTGGACCAGGTTCTGTCATTTAAAAATACTGTATTTATTTATATGTATTTATTTAGGAAAACCTACAGGTAAATGAGCCGAGAGTCACCAGTGATGAACCCACACAAGGACCATGAGACAAGAGATCTTCACAACTATATTACACAAAAACCCCGTGAAGAAAAATGAGACATTGTTCAGGTGCTTTTATCTGGGCATCAGGAAAACCCCTGAGGCAACAGCTTTCACAGAAATAGCTTTCTTCTCAATGGAAGCAGGATGCAGCTAGCATCCAGACTAGTAGCATTCTCTTGCCAAAATTATCACCCCTGTGAGAAAGCTGGGATATTTATTGATTGTACCGACACATCACAGCTAGTAAACTTGCTCTCACAGTAACTCCTTCAACCACAACTCTGGTAACACTGTACAACCAATCTGCCTTCCAACACGTAGTAGGACACACCCCACTACCTGCCTGGTTTCCTGTAAAGCAAGAGATCTGTGGATCTGTGGGTTGCTCATGTGAGCCAGTGGCATCATGCCGATCTGGCAGAGCTAAACTCCATGGGAGCTATTTTGGTGGTCTCTTCAGTACTGCACGATACAAGAAGCATGGCCTAAAGTAACATCCACCTACAACACACTAGTAGATCATTTCAGATTCAGTACTATGTACAATTTACTCTTACTTAGTATACTAAGGAGCTGTGGTATTTCTTCTGAGGCGTGTTATTTGACTGAGGATTATTGAATCTGTCCACTGGGCTGCAGAGGGATGCTGCACTCCGGCTATACCATCAGGTTAAGAAACTTCAACAACCTGCCTCAGTTCTTCAAACAGGGGTGCAAGTTCCTTCTCTAAACTTAGAATCAGCCCTGGAAGGAGAGGAGAGACACAACAAACATCCCATCAAACCACATAACAGAGAAGCCTCACTGCAAACCTCACCACTCCCTCCCCTCCCAAGTCACAGGCAGCATGCTCCAAAACACAAAACCTTTCACTTGGGCTAATCACTCCATGGGAACAACAGGGTCACACCCCATGCAGCAAAGCTCTCCTGTCCTGCTGCTGGCCTCCACTGTTGCCTCCCTGCTGCCAAAGCCCAAGCAGCTGCACAAGGATTCAATCCCTTTGGCTCACATTCATTAGCCAATGCCCTCATGAGCAAGGCTCAGAGGACTCCCCACCCCACACAACTGAGGGGATGAAGCTACATGTGTTACTGCAGAACTCAACTTGGAAGAGACTGAACAACTGGTTTGTACAGCACAAGCACTACTGATGCAGTGAGCATGCTCACACAGCAAGGGTAAGGGTAACCACAGGAGAACTTGTGCTTCTAAATTAAGAACTTCAACAAGTCCCTTAAAAAGCTACGCATTTTTACTCACACCTTTCATAGAGTCACAGAATGGTTTGGGTTTGAAGGGACCTTAAAGCTCATCCAGTTCCAACCTCCTGCCATGGCCAGGGATACCTTCCACTAGACCAGGCTGCTCAAAGCCCCATCCAACCTGGCCTTGAACACTGCCGGGGATGGGGCAGCCACAGCTTCTCTGGACAACCTGTGCCAGTGTCTCACCTCCCTCATAGTGAAGAATTTCTTCCTTGTATCTAATCTAAATCTCTCCTTTACAATATGCTGACAAAATTCATAGCAGGAGCAAAGTTAATATATATCAAAGTAAATTCAGGTGATTTGGTTTCAATTATTTAAACATCCGGGCCTTAAAATACCACCATATTTAAAATACACATGAAGACATACCGGTATTGGCATTGCTGCTAGCAATGAAGCTTACTACCAAAGGTAAACGGTTGAACTGCACCACCTGGAAGGAGAGAGAACAGTGTTCAGTCAGCAGCTAAGCATGTTGGATGTCAGAGCTCTGACACTTAATGCTATCTGAAACAAGCAGCCTCCTCAGTTGAAAACACCAACAGAACTTACAGCATGATACCAGGAACTCAAAGCCTGGCATTTCCCTCCTTCCCATGCTCTATAGTGTTATCCACCACACTCTCCATAGGCAGCATGAAAGCAGGGGAGTTTACCGTTTTAAAATACTGTTCTGTGTACAGCAGTATCTCTACTCCCATTAAAAGGGAACTGGAACCTTGAGCACATGAAGCCAGTCGCATCAAGAGAATCAAAGAAATGCACTCGATGTGTGTAAATTAACTCATTCACCCGTTTATTTTCCAAATGGGCCAGGCTAAACAGCTGGCCAGTTTACTGCAGTCATAATAAACAGCTCTGAAGACCACAAGGACCTGAGAAGGAGCAGAAACTCGGTAGGTAATGGATTTCAGGACACAACCAGTTTGGACAAAAATGAGAGTGGCATTTCCAAGCTTTCTTATCTCTAAATCACTCTGGCAACAAGATTAGCTATGAAGCAGACTGCATGTGCTTATTAGTTTAGGTGTCACTAATTATAAATAAATATTGTTTGTGAAAGAGGATTTAAACCCTTCACAACAGATTGAAGGCCACATGAGCAGCACCTGCTCCAAATTCCTGATCCCCACCTCTTGAGAAAACTTCACCATTTTTAACCAGTGCATCTCAGTTTTGAGAAATACAGAAGAAGCCGAACAAATGGTGTGACAGTTTAGGCTCCGGCATTTAAGCAGTGTGAGAAATAACATGCAAATACTTAAAGAGCAGCAAAGTCAAAGTCTGGCAGTGTTTAAACAACACCCTCCCCCTTGCTAGTGTAGAATCTTAGAACGGGTTGGGTTGGAAAGGGCCTTAAGACCATCCAGTTCCAACCCCCTGCCATGGGCAGGGTCACCCTCCACTAGACCAGGGTGCTCAAGGTGCTGTCTAACCTGACCTTGAAAACATAATGCAGGAGCAGCCTGGGTCACAAAGAACAGACCACACTGAGGTGACTCACCTGGTACGTATTGTAATAGCAGATGATGCTTTTGTTTTTAGACAGTCCCAGTTTACTGCCCTGATCTGTGGCAAGGGCAAAGGTGGACAGAAAGCCTGGTCGCAGTGCGTGTTCTGGAGCATTATCATTGGCAACTGGAACAAAGCAAGACAATTCGTATCACTACAAGTTATGTCTGACTGCATCTCAAGGAGTTAGCTGGCTCAGTCCTCCAGTAGAAGTACATCTGATATTGTGAAACATGTAACACATCTCACGTGCTTCCACAATGAGGACAATCTTCATCACTTAATACTCAGCACACCATCAGTGCTCCCTACACCAGCATCCTTCCTAGCACTCCTGAGGAACAGGCTTTTCCTTCAGTACATGCAGCCTGTGCTGATGTTACTTTGGTTGTGTCCCCCCTGCTGTGTGTGCTCATTCCAGCCCTTGAGCTGAGGGAATCTCTGTGGCCTGCAATTACTGAGGCCACGAACAAAGAACCAGTTTAAACAGGTACACAATCGACTACTAACTGGAAGCCCAATTTAATTCTTTGATTTAGATACTCAGGTATCGGGCACAACCAGGGCAGATTCTGATGTGCTGCTCCACCCCCTGCTGTTCAGTCACGGCATCGGCTGCAGGGAGAAGGTGGAGTTACCTTTGATAACAGGCACTCCGTCTCTGTCCGAGACTACAATCGCATGAAGACCTTCAACGCTGCGAATAAATGAAGAAACACCATCTTAAAAACAGAGTAGTTAGTAGTGAAGATCTTGTTTTCCCTGAACAAACACACAAGGAAGAGGGAAATATGGGAAAGACTGACACCTTTGCTAACGCAGTGTTTCACGGAAGGGGGCTTGTTCTGTATAGTGCAGGTGGGCTCTCGGAGCAGTAAAACAAGAAATAAGAAATCAAAAGACTAAAAATCCCATGGGAGTCCCAGCAACTGGCACTTCCCAAAAGGCCCGGTACAACTAACAGAGTTCCCCTAGTCAAGCAGGAGCCTTTTGGTGGTGCCCTCGCCCAGCGAGCACCAGTGTCACCCTGCCTCAGACCTGCGGCTGTGGCAAACCTTTTTAACGCTGCCAGTAACCGGTAATTACGGAGAAGGGAGCTGTCAAGGATTAGGCAACCGAGTCACGAGGAACGGCTTTTCCATCCGCCCCTCGGCCGGGCGGGTCGCACACACCCCGCCGCTTCCTAAAGAGCGAGTGGAAGGCGAAGCTCTTTTCATCCCACCTCGCTTGAGGGGCCCAGAGCGTTTACCAGAGCGACTGTCCCCCTGCCACAACCCGGCACGGGGCGGATGATCGCCTCTCTAAACCAGAAGCGACTCCGCCGCCAGCCCGTGCTCCGCAGGGCCCGCCGCGCCCCCCTCAGTTACCTCGGCAGCTTCTTGTACAGGAACCTCTTCAGGTCCTGCGGGCAGAGACGGGACCGCGCGTTACTTATGTCCGCGGAACGCCGCGCTCCGCGTCAGGCCCCGGCACCTCCCGCCGTCCCGGCCGCGCTCCCCCGCGGCCTCCCGCCGCGCCGCCGCCCGCGCCCCAACCACCTTCCGGAGCCGCACTTACGTCGGCCATGGCTGGGGCCCTGCCGGCGCTGCCGCCAACTCCGCGGGCCTACGAGACGAGAAGGCGCCGGTCACCCACCCCGAAGGAGGGCAGCGACAGGCGGGCGGGCGCGCTCCCACCCTGAGGCCCGGCCGCCTCCCCCCACCCCGCTGTCTTGGTAGAAGCCACCCCCACCCGTCCAGCGAAAGGAGAGCGGTTGGGCGGAGGCCACTGCCGCACCGCCGGGGGTGGAGGCGCTGCCCTCCCCGCCACACCTGAGTGCGCGCCCGGCGCTGCTGCTGCTGCCCCCTCTACCCCCGTGCAGCCGTCGCTTCCCCTTTAAGCCGCTGTCACATGACGGCGCGTCAGCCCCCGCCAACCCGGAAGCGCTTGGCGCCGGCTCTGCACCTCGTGCGCAGGCGCAGCGGGTCAGTGGTGAGAGTGGAGCAGAGTGTGGGGTTGGGGTCCCTTGGCGTTGTGGTGACCGTGGGTGCTCCTTCATATTGGATGTTGATATTGGATCGAGCCGCCGGCCTGCAGGCTGGTAATGTAACAGCTAGAGCGAACAAATAAACCAGGTTCATCCGGCACAGGTACGGGGAGGCCTGGCAGGTTGTCTGTAACACACTCCACCAACCCGCCAAGGCAAGCGCCATGTGCTTACCATGGTGGAAGCAACCACCGGGTGGCTGGAAACATACGCTGTGCCCCACGCCACTGCCCGGAACACCATCCTGGGCCTTGAGAAACAGATTTTGTGGCGACACGGCACCCCAGAGAGAATTGAGTCAGACAATGGGACTCATTTCTGGAACAACCTTATAGATATTTGGGCCAAAGAGCATGGCACTGAGTGGGTATATCACATCCCCTACCACGCACCAGTCCCTGGGGAAATCGAACGGTACAATGGGCTGTTAAAAACTACACTGAGAGCGATGGGTGGGGGAACTTTCAAGCATTGGGATACACACTTACCAAAGGCCACCTGGTTGGTCAACACCAGAGGATCTGCCAACAGGGCTGGCCCAGCCCAGTCAGAACTTTTACATATTGTAGAGGGGGACAAAGTTCCCGTGGTGCATATGAAGAATTTGCTGGGGAAGACAGTCTGGGTTATTCCTGCTTCAGGTAAAGGCAAACCCACTCGTGGGATTGCTTTTGCTCAGGGACCCTGATATACTTGGTGGGTAATGTGGGAAGATGGGGAAGTCCAATGTATACCTCAAGGTATAATTCTGGGTGAAAATAGCCCATGAATTAAACTCTGTGATGCCAAGTGCTATGCAACACTGTATGTTATCACTTCTATGGTGGCTATATACCCATCACTGCACTGTCTCCACCACTTCAGATTCAAGGATCTGAACCTGACTTCCTTTGGATTGCCCTGGCAAGGGTATTACAGTAAAAATCATACAGATTAATCAGGACTGGCTCCAGCATGCAACAATGCAACGCCACCTCTCCTGCCCTGAAAGGCTGTTAAAACAAATGGACTAAATGAACTTAATGGTCATTTTACAGGGATGGTCCATAGACTAGGGAAATGGTATCTGTTAGTGTGTATCAAAAGACAGGAAAGGTGATGGTGTATTGGAAAGTGTGGGACCTGGGCATGATGTAAATGGTATAGAATAAGGGGTGGATACTGTCCTGGTTTTGGCTGGGATAGGGTTAATTTTCTTCCTAGCATCTGGTGCAGTGCTGTGCTCCAGCTTCAGTCTGAGAACAATGCTGGTAACAGACCAATGTTTTAGTTGTTGCCAAGTAGTGCTTACTTTACATCAAGGACTTCTCATTTTCCCATGTTCTGCCAGTGAGGAGGGGCACAAGAAGTCAGGAGCGAGCACAGCCAGGACCCAACCTGGCCAAAGGGATATTCCATACTATACCACATCGTGCTTGGTACAGAAACTGGAGGGGAGTTGGCTGGGAGACACAGGGCGGGCATCAGTCATCTGGTGGTGAGCAACTGTATTGCGCATCGATTGCCTGTTTTGGGGTTTATTCCTCTTTTTGTTGTCTTCCTTTTTGTTACAATTATATTCTTATAATCATGTTTTATTTTATTTCAATCATTAAACTGTTATTTCAACCCACAGGTTTTCCCTTTTTTCCCATTCTCCTCCCCATCCCACCGGGTGTGTGAGTGTGAGTGGCTGTGTGGTACTTAGTTGCCGTCTGGGGTTAAACCACAACAAATGGTGTATTTCTTTCCTATATTTATTACATTTGTACTATTTGCTCTTGATCACATGCCAAAAATGGCACAGAATTTGACATTTGTTACATGGTATCCTTTCTCCAGGTTTACAAAGGAGCATGGGGAAAGCAGTGCCCAGAGATGAGCAGCACTTGCAAGGTCATATTGAGTTGTTAGCAGATAGGGGATACATCACTGGGGCTTACAACTGCCATGAACCATGATGACCAAAGCCCCTCTGGTGAAACTGACTGTGCTCTGTTAACCCAATAGAGACAACTGGGAAACCAGGACTTTTAGCAGTTACAGCTTCAGGAATTTGTGTAGTAACTGTTTTTTTTTTAAACCAAAATATTTGTTTTCACTATTACATTTTCTGTCTGCTCTCTGACCGATTACAGGAAAAAAGACTAACAACTGTTTAGCGGATGAATGGAATTTATAGGACAAACAACCTTAGAAAACATTCTTGCCCTCTCATTTTAATCCTTTTACAGCATTCATTACAAAATTACATAAAAAATGTACATAATTTAAAGTTGTCTCTGCTGCCTATTTAAATGCATCTATTACATTTTAGTGCTATAGTGTTCTACTTTTCTTGCAAACTTGTAAAAGAATCAAGACTAAAAAAAGGTTAAAAAAAAAAAAAAGTAAAATTAAATTTAATCTTGTTTTACCTGAACAGTTAGAGAACTTGTAGGGAAATGTTCATCAGATGTGAACACTGAACACACTTGTGACTCAGGATGCTCCATAAATAGAACACAGACTGATCGCTATAATCTCCCTTTCTCATTAGGGTATGTCAGAGTCATGTCAAAAGTTTTCACTTTCTGCAGGACCTTCCTGCTTGCCCTTGTAGAAGAGAAATCAAAAACCCATGCATGTGCTATTTTTAATTCTAGATTAAATATACAGGTAATGTGTAAGTAGAGTAAGGAGTTAATTCTTGGTAGCTAGAAAAGTTCAGGGATTTTTAGTCAAGCCATTCAAAACCAGTTTGTTTTTTCCCTTTCTTTATGATACCTTAGTTTAATGAGAACATCTTCTGAAGAAAGGTCAAATGCAAATACCCAAGTACTCCACTCTCTTCTGTTGGCATCTTGTTCGTAAGAAAATCCATTCTGAAATTTCCAGCAGATTCCTCCTTTTTCCTTTTCTAAAGAAAAAAATCCTTCAGACTTGAGAAAACAGTAGCAATCATGAGGACAGAAACACCTACGTGGAATATTGAAGGAACATTTGCAGGCCACATTTAGAGCAGGTTAAATGTTATGCTATGGGAAATAACAGCATCCTTCTACATGTCACTGCATATTTCAAAGCGTGCCACCGTTCAATCTTTTAAATACTAAGTAACTTCCCTGAAAATGGCAATTGCAGTCGATAATCCAGTGAGATGTAGCCACCCAGGTCTTGCTTTTAAACTACTGGGACACCTGTGCTGCCACAGCCACTGCATGATTCTGCTTTGCTGAGGTACCTACTGATAGCAATCTAGCCACCCTAACACAGCCCAATATTCGTCCATTTACCTGCTTCTCAGCTGCTGCAGGAGCAGGGCAGACATAACCCAGCCGATTCTATACGATGCTAACAGCATCTTTTCACTCTGACTTCACTGTTCTGATATTTGATGTGTGTGTGGCATCTGAACTAAAAGATCACTCTGTAAGCTCACACTCATCTGTGAATGGGAAGGCGCAACTACTTATTAAAGCCTTTGGAACAATTTTCTTCTATTAAGAAGACACAGGAGTACCAGTACGTACTTTGATAGTTTGTTTTCATTAGTATAATTACAGTACATTCTGGACAGTTACAAAATCTGGGGAATCATGTTTTCTCCATAAATTTCTATTGCAGACTTCAAACACATGGATGCCTTTCCATTACTTCTGCATGGTTTTCCTACGATCTTAGTAAGGACATCCAGTACAGCAACCCTTTTATTTTCCCATTTGTTTCAGCAGCTGTTAGTTCTGCTTTGTACCTCAGGCTTTCATGTCTACCCTGAATGCTGGTTTAGCTGCTTACTTAGAAGCCTGCAGCTAGTCCCTCTCATTTTACACCAACATTTCCAGTGGGACAGCTTAGAAAAGGTATATAATGCAAAATGATTTCTGGGTCACTCAGAGCAATAGCATTTAGTGTATCTCTAAAGTCAAGTCCTGCTCTGGATCAGGAGGAATTCCAATGAAGGCAGTCAAGTATTTAAACATTCAGTTCAGAAGAACTTGGCTCCACATTAACTGATAGCATTGCTCAAACATAGCAGTTTTCTCAGACAAAAAATACTGCCCTTATTAGGAGCCACCTGGCATTCTCAAATACAAGAAAGATTCGCCTGCACAGCCCTGTTAAAATGTAAACACATCAGCTACTGAACCTAAAAACAGTTTCAACGTGCTTTTGATAAACTTCAAGTACATTGTACTTAGCTGCTTCAAAACACCTCTTTGCATCAGCAGGTGTGGCTACATATAGTTTCCACGTACAGACCAGATGGTATGTTTGCTCACATCTAGGAAGTCTGTCCAGCAACATTCTGGTCCAGAAAAATGCATACTCTACCTCTTCTGCCCTGGGACAAGCGATATGGCTCTGACCATAGGAGCCTACTGCAAGCTAGCAAAGCATTTAAATAGTTGGCGGAAGTGTTGAAAGGCACATAGTTTGTCCTTAGCAATGTTTCCCTGTTCTACCTGTGGTACCCATTGAGGAATCAGTGTTGGGACCTAGCTTGAAATAAAAAAGGAGTAAGAAAATGGAAGCCTGACAGGAAAAAAAAAAAAAAAGGTTGCCTTTTTCTAATTTTTTTTTAGCTTTAAGATTTTACTATTGCATGTTTTCCTCTGCCTTTCCAGTGAAAATTCAGGAAGCTCTGGATGCATGTTAACCATACGCATGGATTTACTACTACTGGAATACCAAATGGTAGAGCTGCTGTAAACTGCTGCAAGTACTAAAAGC